TAGTCCATCTGTAAAATAACATATTTACTATTTCTATAATATCTGATAAATGAAATTGAAATATTTCTACACGGAGATAGCCATATCTCAGTAGATGATCTCATGTTACTTTATTCAGAAGTGAGAGCAGCCAATGTAAGCACCTTCAATTTGCCCTCTTCTCATTTTAAAGTCCATGTCACTTTTTTCCTCTTTCGTTCATGCTGGTTTGGAGGACTTATCCTTCCAGGTCATACCTGCACTCTTTACCGCATTCTCTGTCCTTCCCTGGAATGTCTTTCTATCACTTATTTTAAGTTTTCCTTTTGTATAGCTTCTTTCCTCATCCCAACAAAATTCACAGCCATCCTCTACCCTCTTGCATCTTCAATTACTTAAAAGAGAAATATTTTTCAAAAGAGAATTCTGTATTTTCTACCTCATTTACCTTAACTCTATGAATTTGGTCTTATATCTCCACCTCTCCTAAAGCCGCTATTCTGAAATAACCAATGACTTCCTGATGCCAACTCGGATGGCCTTTCAGCCATAGCCTCATTAAAGTTCTGTAGCATTTGATGAAAACTCTCCTCTTACAGCTTCCAAGACCAGTTTTTGTTGTTGTTGTTGTTGTTGTTGTTGTTTTGATCTTGCTATTTTTATATTCCTTTTTTTGTATTCTGTCAAGGGTTCTTTATCTAATCTCCTCTAAATATAGAGCTGCATCAATTTTCCAAGTTTCTATATTTGGACCCCTCTCTGTCCTCTCAGGTTTGTCAATTCAGCCTCTTCACAGTTTTACTTACATTTCTGTGAATAACTTCCATATTCATTTGTCTGATACTAACTTTTTGAAAGAGGTACATCAGCACTTCCAACTGGTTTCTGGATATCTTCTCACTCGCTCACTCGCTCACTCACTCACTCACACTCATTGATAACCTGCTAGAAGATAAGTACTGCTCTAGAGCTGTGGAGACAGTAGTGAACAAAGCAAAGTCTCTGTCCCACAGAAGTGACATTCTAGGGAGAGAAGGAAGTAAAAGCAAATAAAAAATGTGTCAGCAGGTGGTAAGTGCTATAGAGAAAAACAAATCAAGTAAGAGGATAGAGAAAGATGGGAAATGTGATTAATTTAGATTGGATAATCAGTAAAGTCTCTCTGCAAAATGCCACTTGAGCAAAAATCTGAAGGAAATGAGAGTATAAACCATGTTCACATCTGGAGGCAAAATGTTCTCAACAGAGGGAATAGGTCCTAAGGTATAGGAGGCAAATGAGGCAAATGTGATGAGTAGAGTGAGTAAAAAAGATGTCCTCCCTCTTCCTCTCCTCTCCTCTCCTCTCCTTCTCTCTCTCTCTCTCTCTCTCTCTCTCTCTATGGGGATAGAGATAGATGACATGGAGAGTGACACAGTGAGAGAGAGATACCTTTTTCATTATATATTTATACGTAATGAAAAAATATATATATAATCATATAATCTTACCACTTATACTCTTTTACACACATACCCCGGCCCCCACACCACCACTATTATAACTAGAAGATACAATAGTTAGAGATATCAGGAGCTCAAATCACATAGGGCCTTGTAGAGCATGGTAAAGACTTTGACTTTGACTCCAAAAGAGAGGAGAGCTATTGAAGGGTTTTGAGCCAAGAAAGAACAGGATCTAATTTATACTTAAAAGGAAATGTTTTGGCGGCTTTGTGGAGAAATGGTCGCATGCGCTCAAGTGTGGAATCAGTCAGACCAGTCAAGAGTGTAATGTAAAATGCAATAGTGCAAGAACAGAAGATGGGAGCTTGTACCAAAAGGTCAGTGATGAAGGTTGTTGGAAGGTAGGTTCAGGATCTATTTTGAAGGAAGACCTGAAAGGATTTGCTGAAGGACTGGTGAAAAAGATATGAGAGAAAGAGAGTAGTGAAGGATGACTGAAACTTAGAAAATGGTAGAATAAAGTTTCTATTTAATATGAAGAAAGAGACTTTAGGTCGAACAGGTTGTGGAGGGTGGTGAAATCAAGAGTATGGTTTTGAACATGTCAGACATGTCTATTAAACATCTGAGGGGAAATATCAATTAAATATTTAGATATATAAGTCGAGTTCAGAGTGAGGTCAAGCAAACTATATAAGCATGTTATTTGTCAACAGATACATATTTAAATAAAAGTCAGAAGACTGGATGAGACCTTTAATGAACAAGTATAGATAAAGAAGAGGAGAGGTCCAGATGTGAGGACTGAGTTGTGAGGCACTCTATTGTTTAAAGTTCAGGAAGATGGGCGGTTAGAAGGGGAAACAAACATGTAGAAGAGTAAGCAAGTGTTTCAAGAGAGAAATGACAAGTCCTGCTAGCTGGTTGAGTAAGAGGAAGGCTGAAAAATAACCATCGGATTTATCATCATGGAAGTCACTGATGATCTTGACATAAAATAAAAAGGCTGGTGTGGTAGTAAACAGTGAACACAACCTTCCTTGGGGGTGGGGGTGAGACTAAGAGCAGAATAATTGGAGACAGGAAGCAGAAATAACAAATATGCTTGTAATAAGTCAAGCATATTACAAGATAGGGTTATATTATGATTATAAATATATAATTGCAGGGAAAATTATATAATATATATTCATATAAAACGGATGTATATGTACCAACATATAGAGCTAGACAATCTCTTAGTGAGATTGATATTTGTTTTTTTAATTATGTGTCATTTTAAAATAAACTTATCATGGACATCTATCATTATCATAATAAGAAAAGGAAAAATATAAGATAGAGAGAAAGCAATAAAGGCTTAACTGTGGTGAAACCAGTGGAAATAGAAACAAAGACATGATGGTGAGAATTTAGAGGCAGAATCTTTTAAATTTTGCAACCAATGAATGGAGTTACAGAAATGATGTACAGAGAGAAAATTGATAGATCTCAAACCTGTGTTACTGGAGAATAGAGTTGAGAATAAATAGAGATCACATTAGAAGGTCAGGAAATTATTTAGTGAGTCCTATCCACCTTTTTGTTAATTAAGTGGATTTGAATTGAAGTGAAAGTAAGTGAAGTAAGGGTATTGTCTCCTAAAATTCATGGTGAGTGTATGTTCATGTATTTACATCCTGGATAGTGATATTTCTTATTCTATATTGGTACTGGAAACATTCAATAACCATTATGCTAGATAATTATTTTATACATTCTCATCTCAGATATCCTAATCTCCTCCTCTCTCTACTGTCAGTTGATAATCCTCTTATTTCACTGAAAATTTAGAAGTAATCACAGGAACTTCACACTTTCTCATTGAATTGTGAATTTCTGCCCACATCATTATGTGTTTGACAAAATCATATTTAATAGCTGCAGGGTGTTTCATGTATAGTATTTTAATCTAAACCATTTTGTTGAGTTTAAGCAGTCACATGTGAATTTGCCTCTCAGATCTGGGACTGCAGGGAGCACAATTTGCGAAAGACCCTGGCCGCTGTGCTCTCAGATCAACTCATCTCTTTGTTTGTTGCAGGACTGCGCTTCCTATGAGTTGCTCCTCTTCAGTAACTGAGCACTGGAAATGTACTTAGGGAGGCCCATTTCTTGGAGACTTGGGATTCCTCTGATGAGCAACTTGACTGGAGGTAGCCCAGTCAGCCTCGTAGAACTCTCCTTAGACTTATGCACAACTTTTCCTTTCTTTCTTCGCTTAGGATCAGACTTACATGGATGGAGTTCAAAGACTCCCCCTGCTTCTTCCACCTCCTTTCTCATTTGTTCTCAAGGGCCTTTCTGTTTTCCCCGATAAATTTTTCAGAGGATCCAAACTGACACAGACATTTATTTAGGTTGTCCACAGATTGTTATTCTGTACAACTAAACTTCTGATTCCTCAACTCTTAGCCCAACATTCTTCTGTTGAGAGTTCTTCGAATCATTGCCGTTACTCACTAAATGAAGCCTAACCCCCTCTTCTCACTGCTACACTTTGATTCTGGCCCATCTTTCCAAACACCACCCATTGCTCTTAGCCTAGTCCAAGGGCTGCTGAATAAATATTCTCTCACTCATTTTATCATGCCGCCTCCCTCCTCCCACCCCCCACCCCAAGAAAACATTTGCCCAGCTGATGCCTCTTTCGTTCTGGATCCCTTCTTGAATTTTTCATCCCGTGATGTTTTTTTCCCTCTCCACTTTAAAGGCCATAGAAGGGAGTTTTCTGCAGTATATTCACTCTTTTGGGGATGTTAGAAGGGAGGCTATCTGGCCCAGTGGTGAAGTGCTTAGTATGTAATCAGATAGGCCTAGGTAATTATATTACCATCAACAGAACAAAACAAAACGAAACAAAAAGCCGAGATCAGATATGTTTGAGAAACATTGAGCTAAACAAATATAATCCATGCTTTTTTTGTTTTTAATTGCAAGACTTCCTAGAGCCCTTAAAATGCTAATATACACTGTGGCTTTTCATGGCTAGCATGGCTATACTTTATGTAGCTTGTCCTGAATTTATTTGATCACAACAGATCATTTCCAGACATTATTGTTTCTTGGAACACACTTTGGGAAAGGGCATGAGTTGTCAAAAAATTTTGAATGTATGATTTTTACAGTACTATATGTATTCTTCATCTTGTTATAGCCATTTGTATATATACCTTATACATTTTCCCACTTTAGCATAAGGTCTTGAAAATAACAGGCACTTGTTCAGTTGAAAAATTATGGACTTTTAGTGAAGGTCCATAGTCTGGAATAATATTTGGTAACTAGAGAAAGTTTCCATCTATTTTCAGTAGCTCTTTTACACCACAGTATCCCGGGCTACCTTTCAGGCTGGGAAAATTATCTTTATACTTGATAACATGGGGCTAAATGCATTTTCTCTGCAAATCCTTTTATTGGAGGAATATATAACAGAGGAATATTAAGGGTGGAGGGGAATTATAAGGGCAAGAAAGCACGAGACAGCTGACTCTGGGTTCTGGCACACCATGGGTGGTGGGGAAGGCAGCCTTTGGCTTAGTTCTGATTGTTTCCATTTCCAAGGGTATGTTTGTCAAAAAGGTACTCTGCCAGGCCACAATCCGGGGCTCCCATCTTAATCAAGTTGTGCACGTGGTCACCTAGTTCTTTGATTGACTTCACCTGCTCATTTAGATAGTGGGTTTCCAGGAAGTCGCACAAATGGGGGTCGCCTTTGTCTGAGGCCAGAGTGTGCAATTCCAGCAACGACTGGTTTACATTCTTTTCCAAGAGCAGAGCACACTGCATGGCTTTCAGTCCGCTTTCCCAGTTGTCCCGGTCGGGCTTCTTGATGTCCTGCAGGCAGATGCTGCCACCCCGCTGGTTCTGCAGCCTCATTAGCTTCTCTGCGTGCTCCATCTCTTCCCGGGACTGGTGAAGGAAATATCTAGCGAAGTTGTTCAAGGCCACATCATCTCGGGAGAAGTAATAGGCCATGGACAAGTACACATAGGACGCATAGAGCTCGAGGTTGATCTGGCGGTTGATGGCTGCTTCGGAGTCAGGATGGAAGTTCTGGCGCACTCGGGAGGAGCCGCAGGAGGACCCGCCGGGGTCCTTGGAGGCGGTGGCTGAGGTCAGCGGGCGGCTGAGGGCGACGGGCCAGCGGCCCAAAGGGCGCCCAGGCGCCCAGCGCGGGGGGAGCGCAAAGCCATGGCGCGCGCTGCGCAGGGCCACCAGCGAAATGCTGAGATGCTTGGAGAAGAACAAGAAGGACAGCATGGCTCCTCCTCTTCAGAAGTGGGGAAACTGAGGTCAGGTCGGTTCAGCGCGCGGTCTGCCCCCAGGGCGTTAGGTCTGAATGCGAACTAGGCCCTAGGCGACGGCGACTGCGTCACACGCCCCTTCCCTTCCAGACGCGCCGAGTTCCTCGCGGATGGCGGCCAGCGAGGGGCGCGCGTCTGTCGCGGTTGGGCGCAGACAGGTGACAGTTACACAATTCCATTTATCCAAACCTTGCCCCCATCGTCGACGCAAGATTTCTGCTCTTGGGTGTTTGTAATTTTTTATTTCACCTAAGTTACAAATGTTGTCAAAAAAGTAGACGCTGTGACTTGTAAAACAAAGGACTAAGCCAAGCCATGCTTGTCTTCCCTCTCCGACGTTTTTCTGTCCAAGGAGTAAGGGATGGGAGAGGCAAGGCAGTGAAGTAGCATAAAACAGAAGTCAACATCAGTTTATACGAGAGAGTAAAGGTCCACATCTAAAGTGGAGTTTGCAAATTGATTATCTGATTATTTTAACAAATCTAAGTATGGAACTAATTGCCCATATAGTGGGCAGGTTTTCGAAAGTCTTGTAGTAAGAGTTTTCTTTTTAAAAAGACATTTTATTTTTAAAAAATATAAAAATATTTTATTTTAAAATTTATCTTCATTGTAAAGAAACCAGAAATTGTAGGAAATAGGGAAGAATATATGTAAACTAGCTCTAAACTTGACGTTACTTTCCTATCTTTTGTTAATACAGATGCATATTTTTAAAAAGGACAACTTAAATTTAAAATAGCGTTTGACTTTAAAAGAATATATATAATTATTGTAGTATGTTGAGAAAATGAGAACTCACAGAGGAAAATTCAAAACATTACTAAATCTTCCTCTACTCAGAACTGTTGTTGAAATGTTGATGGTAATTCTCACAGATTAAAAAAATGTAAAAAAATATATATCACAGATACACAAAAGTAAACATACGCATTTTATCAGCTTTATTGAGGTATAATTGACAAACTGCAGAGATTTAAAGTATACAACTTGATAAGGTTTGACACAGGTATACATCTGTGAAACCATCACCAAAATCAAGGTAATGAACATATTCATTACCTCCTAAAGTTTCCTCATGCCTCTCTGCTTCTCTCCACCCCACCTCATCCCAGGCTTCCATTGATCCGCATTCCCTCACTAGATAGATTTGTTTGCATTTTCTAGACTTTTATATAAATGGAATCAGTATGTACTCCTTTTTGCCTGGTTTCTTTCAGTCAGCGTAATTATTTTGAGATCTATCCACGCTGTATCATATTTATGGCTGAGAAATGTTCCATTGTATGGATATACCAAATTTGTTTATCCTTTCACCTGCTGATGATTATTCTGGCTATTAAAATAAAGCTGTTATGAACATTTCTGTACAAGGCTTTATGTGGTTATATGCACTCATTTCTCTTGAATAAAATTTATATGGAATGGCTAGGTAATATGGTAAGTGTATGTTTAACTTTTTAAGAAATTTCAAATTGTTTTCCAAAGTGATTGTACCATTTTACATTCCCATCAACAATGCATGAGAGTTCAAATTCCTTCACATCCTCGGTATTGTCAGTTACTTGTTTTATTTAAAATTTAAACTTTAGGAGTTTCTGTAGGTGCATACTGGTATTTCATCAAACTTTTAATTTGCATTCCTAGAATAATTAATGATAGTGAGTATATTTTCATGTACTTCTTTGCCAATCATATATCTTTTGGTGAAGTATGTGTTCAAATCTTTTGCCCATTTACATGTTGGGCTATTTCTTTACTTACGGTTGTTTGATTTCTTATGGTTAATATCTGGGTCTTTGATATTAGTACTACTTCTATTCAAGTCTTCTTTATATTAAGTGTATGTTACTTTCTTATATTTCCTTGGGCAAGTCAGATTACCTTTCTAGGTCAGTTTCCTCAACTGTAAGTTTAGGATCCTATTTACCTCCAGTGTAAGAGGATATATGCAGAGTACTTATCACTGTGCTTGACACAGAATAAACACTCAAAATATTCTATAATAGTTTTTATTGGAAAATTTCTATTTAATTATTCAAAATCAATCATATTCAGTAAGCAATAATTGTTATCATTTATGGAAAAACTTATACAGCTTAAAAGAATGCTTACATATATTGGTAGTGAGGTAGAAATTCTTTTATTATATGGACATATCAAACTTGTAGTTTTATAGTAAGCTCTCTAGTCTCAAATGAGCTTCTTAAAGTATACCATAAATAAAGGTAGATGCCTAGGATCTAGTTGCTCTTAAATTCTGCTCATAGAATGTGATTGATATTCACCAAGCACTTTCTCACTACTTTTTGCTTCTGCATACCCATCTTTGCTTTTATTTTTCCCAACTTTTGCTGTTCCTAAAATGTAGTTCCCTAAAGAGAAGTTATGAAAATGATTCTTTAGAGTGGTATTAAATGCCAACTGCTGCTACTAGTATTTTAGGAGAAATGGTGCTCTTCATATAAATGCTTATCCCCAAGGTAGTAAAAAGCATAGACATAAAACAAATGCAATACATGAAATGTAATGCAAAACAATGCCATAAAACACAATGCACATTTAGATATCCCATGTTAATTTGTCAAAAATGTTTTTTCTTCCCATTACAAAGTTTATTATATGTTTTGCTAGACTGAAAATGCAAGGATCTGTTGTGTTCTTTTTATCTTACGGGCATTTTGATTTCTAGTATTCATGGTAAAATTAATGTCGTTCTACCAAAAACGCTAACCTAGACTTTCAACCACTGCTCTTCACAACTCATTTCTTCCTGAGTTTTAATGGCTTCCTCTCTTGCCTGAACACCTCCCTTAAACTTTTATGTTTCTCTGGGATTCCCTCTGCTTCCTCACTTTGCTTTCGTCCCTTCTTTCACTTCCTCATGGAATCTATCGCATCTTTTAAGGTCTCATTAAATATATTACCTTCTCTGTAAGGTCTTACATGACTTCATTTGGAATTAATCATTACTTATTTCTGCTGTGTAAAAGAACTTTGTTTATATTGAGAGTACATCATGTTAGAATTCCTTGTACGTGTGTGTGTATCCTTAAGGGCACAGCTTGTCATCTAATTTCAGGATACTGTATATGAACTAATTGCTCTTATATTTGTATTTAAAACAGGCACTGTACAATCTAAAAATAAAGTGAAATTAATGCTTATAATTTAAATTTTAAGTTTTTTTTTTTAACTTAGAATAACGTTAAATAAAAAATAAAGATACCATGACAAGTCAGGAGGAGAGACTACAGAAGAAAGGAAAATATTTTATATTTTAATACCTTTAATAGCACTTTTTCCCTGCTTTTTGAACAAGTGGATATACATTTTTATTTTGCATGGGCCTCACATGTAGGATAACTTGAGTTGATCCCACAAAGGATCTTTGGAGCACAAGCATGCCGCAGAAATTTTCCTGAGCTGGGGCAAGGAGCTGGGCTTTCGTACTCCTGCACCACCCAGTCATTGTATAAGGTCACTCAAGGGAGGTGTACATACCTAGGCTCTCAGTTTGTCTGCATGTCCTGGCAAAGCAGCCCCAGTAGCCTGATAGCTGGCTTCCTAATAATGTTTCTCTTGTCAGGAGAAGCCACAGAAGAGCCAAGAGGGGCATACAAATAATACGTTTCCGAGGGGATCCCAGGCAGAATACTAACATCTCCTAACTTGTTGACTGGACTAATCTCTTATTGAAATCAGTGCAAGACTCAGTAGAAAACAGATGGCACACTTAAAAATTAGAATAATTCTAAAAGTTTTAATTAAAAGATATATACAGATGTATGGGAAGGAAAGCTAGAAGAGGTAGTTCAGCACCCTGGAGCTGATCTCAAGAAAAGAATTGCTTAACAGAACCCATGTGAAAGTGAGCTGTTCAGAGAGAACCACTTAGAAAGGAACAATGACACCTGGTTGAGGGACAGCGCCAATCTCAAGAAACCTGAGAGAAGAATCCAGTGGAATAAATACCCTGGCCTGAAGCTTTCCTTTCCTTGGATCTCTTGCCCGAGCTTTGTATAGGTTGAACCTCATAGAAAGCCAGAAGGTAGGGAACTCATCGTTATAGTGCCTTCAGAGCAGCCCCTGAGGAGGAGAACAGGGCAGGGAGGTTGGAGAGCGGATCTTAGAGCAAACAAAAATACGTTATCAGACTCTCTTACGCTCTCCCAATTTACTGTCCCCAGAGTGGCTACGGACAGCTTTCTCAAATGTAAATATGATTAAATCATTCCCTTGCTTTAAATCTTTTAGTAGTTCCACATTAAACTATAGCCCTGCAAAATATGTTCTCCCTTGCTTTTCCGTGGCTATTCTCTTGCTAATTCAAGTACCCTTTACTCTCCCAAACTCCAAATAAGCTTCAGTCATTATGAATTTTCTTTTAGACACCATGATGCATCATTTGTTCCTATCCTACAGGCTTCTAAATGCTGTGTCCACTACCTGGAGCACTGTTTCACCCAGAACTAACCATGGGGGGAGTGTGAGCAGAGGGTTAACAAAACCCTTTCCCTTTCTGCATGAGTTTATGACCACTGACTTATTAACTGTCTAACTCTGTTAAAATGTACAATATTTGTCCAGGCAATCTTGCTTGTGGAAAAATTACCCATGATTGGCAAATTAACACTGAGCTTCTGTGAATGTGTTGACCCTTGTTCCTGGGTGTGCCTTTGGTAGGGTTCATGGAAATTGGAGTTGTAATAAGAAATACTGACTCTTGTGGGGCATGGCTCTTTTTAGCCAGGGTATCTCTCATACTCATTTTATGGAGATCATGAGAGGATGCTTGATACTACCCTGTCAAAAGGATAGTATCTTGTGCTTCTTGTCCTATGTCCTGAGTGGCACTCTTGTAAGTATGAATGCTTAATTGAACCCATTAAGGCTTCTTGATAGTTGTGCAGGTAATAAAGAAATTAACATGGATTTCTTTTCTGACATCCCCCC